AACTTTCACAGAATCTTTATTACATATTGCCATTGTGGACCTCATATTTTACTTTTTGATCCGACAAATATTTTGAGTTTCCCATAGCAAAACATGGACACTGTCATTTATACACATATGGGAGGCGGGGGGTATCATTTAGTGAGCCCATTGCTTACAGTACCTCTAGTTTTCTGTTAACTTTTTGTAATGAAATGCCTTTTGGTGTTGTTTTAAGATTTCAAGCATTCCTTATCGGTAAAAGTTCATGTTGTTCATAGATACCCATTTATAACCTGAATAAACACATTTTTAAGTTAAATTTTTGTCTGTTGTTATGTTAGTGATAAATTACACATATATAACCCAGTGATCCTTATCAAATTTTGAGTAGTATAATATATGTTACCTTATAATACAATGAATCAGAATGAGTTCAACGTTTTAACTAATTAAATTGTTGATAGATGCTGGATTTTTATAAATTGTTGACAGCAACAAACAATAAAATTACAAAAAACTTTTGGATAAGGAGTTTCATCACCCACAATGATAAACCATTTTAATTATACTGTCTATTAAATAATCCGTATAGATTTACATGCACTGAATAATTTCTCCTTTATTTCTTAAGAAAAACCCATTGCGTTAATCACTGCATGAACTACAGTAGGCAAGTCGCCTGTACAGATTTCTTGATCAGTTGCTGTAATGCTGTTCCATCAATGAAACGGATTAAGACGTTCGCATCATTAATACAATAATTAATCTTTTTAATCCTACATTAAATGATTATTTAAAAAATCTTCTACTTTACTCCTGGATATCAAGCAGCCAAACTGTTTGCATGATTGTAGTCAGCATTGAGTTTTCTTCCAAAATTGTGAAATTCATGGCCCTGGGGTCAGGGGTTCTGGTGCTAGGGCAGGGCTAAATAAGTATATAGTGAAAATGCATTATTTCTTTGAAAATCTTCTTCTCTGCTCCTGGGTATTAAATAAACCAACTAAGTACATAGTTATAATGAACAAGAGTGCCTCTACCAAAATTGTGAATTTTATTGCCCCAGGGTCTGTGGTTCTGGTGTAAGTGCAGGGCTCTATTTAATATGTAGTGAAAATACATGAATTCTTTGAAAATCTTCTTCTCTTCTCCTGGGTATTTAAAAAACAAACTAAGTACATAGTTATAATGAGCAAGAGTGCCCCTACCAAAATTGTGAATTTTATGGCCCCAGGGTCAGTGGTTCTGGTGTTAGGGCGGGGCTCTATTGATTATATAATGAAAATATTTGAATTCCTTGAAAATCTTCTTCTCTGCTCCTGGGCATTAATTAAACAAACTAAGTGCAAAGTTATGAGGAACAAGAGTGCCTCAACTATAATTGTGAATTTTATGGCCCTAGGGTCAGGGGTTCTGGTGCTAGGGTGGGGCTCTATTGATAATATAGTGAAAATGCATTAATTCTTCAAAAATCCTCTTCTCTGCTCCTGAGTATTAAATAAACCAACTAAGTGCATAGTTATGATGAGCATGAGTGCCCCTACCAAAATTGTGAATTATATGGCCCCGGGTCAGAAGTTCTGGTGTTAGGGCGGGGCTCTATTGATTATATAGTGAAAATACATAAATTCTTTAAAAAATCGTCTTCTGTACTCCTAGATATTAAATGAACTAATGAAGTATATAGTTATGAAGAGCAGGAATGTCTCTTCCAAAATTGTGAATTTTATGGCCCCAGGGTCAGGGGTTCTGGTGTTAGGGTGGGGCTCTTTTCATGATATAGTGAAAATACATTAAATCTTTGAAAATTTTCTTCTCTGCTCCTGGGCATTAAGCAGATGAAATACAAATATAGCTATGATGAACAGGGCCATTCTTTCAGAATTGTGAATTTCAAGGCCCCTGGGTCGGGGGGGGGGGGCTCTACTTATACACTGAAAATGAATTAATTGATTGACATCTGCTCCATGGTATTAATCAAGCATTTTGATAGACAAGGGTGCCTTTTCCGAAATTGTGAAATGTGTGGACCAAGGGTCAGGGGTTCATGCGTGGGAGTGGCACTACTGCTGATTATTGCTGAATATTATTGATTAGTCGAAATGCATTTGTTCCCCTACTTTATCTATGGGTATCAAGTAACCAAACTAAGCATTCAAAGTGTATAGATATGATAAGCAATGGTGCCTCTATCAAAATTGTGAATGCCATGATGCTAGTTTAAAACATGAACCAAATTCAATCATAGGAAAACTGTTGCATGATGCTCAGTGGATCTATAAGGCCCATGGGTCTCTTGTTGTTTAAATAATCTATAGAATCGCAAACCATTCACAATACCACATATTCTTCGGATTAAAGGTTGTATTCGCCGTAGGGTCAATGCGAGTGCAGCGGCATTCGATATCAAAAAGGACTATGATTTCTATGCTTACTGTTTATCTGACCAATAAAAGTGATAGTCCATTGTTGGATTATTTTTCAATTATTTTGATGTCTTACATACATCAAAAGAAAAAAAAAGCGAAAAAAAGTATTAATCTGGACATTGTTGTTTTTTTTCTAAGACAAAGGACATAAGAATGGTACACAACGTTCAATATTTTTTCAAACTTAAGTAATTCTTTCTATATTTAAAAAAATATGGAAACTTTCGGTCGTGAATGTGATTGGTTATTCACAAGAAAATATATTCATTTGTAAATCGGATTTGCATCGGTCAATATTTATGTCAAAGGCCTTTCCTGTCACCGTGTTGCAAACATTCTGTTGTTACCCTCTAATCCATGTAACGTATGTATAAAATATCTTCTTATTTGGAACTGAATTTGCAAAAACCTATTGTAAAACAGGGTACAGCATATTCAAAAGCTGGATTTTCTTACATGCAAACATTTCAAAATATTTTTCACTGAAATATAGAGTTAACACTATCCGGTGGAAGACGTATGCTTGGCACTCAGAGACATGGAGCAGTGTATGGGGCCTTTTTTTCGTGCAGATACCTACAACTCTAACACAATCAAAAGACCTGATAAAGAAAGACATTTTATAAGAACTTTCAAACCTAAATAAATAGTTTAATGTAAAAGAATTGTTTCTTTACATATATTTACATTTGCAAATATTTTCCTTTATATAACACTACCGAAAGCAATGCGTATCTATAACTGTATAAATACAGATACGGGGTCAAGAGGTCATAGAAGTGCTTATAGATAAACGTTTGACGTAATTTCTCTGTGACGTCATAAAGGGTCAACGAGCGTCTAGTGGATTACATACATGCCGTTGAGTTTGAAAAATAATGCATTTTACACGTTAAAAGTCACAATCAGGCAAATATAAAGTATAAATAAGTCACAAATTTAAATATAAGTAATAAAGTATCATTTTAATGGATAGATGTTTAAAAATGATACCTTATTTCTTAAGTAAATTATGTTACTGAGTCACATTTATTGCTTTGTTATTGTATGCTTTGTTAATGCATTGTTTGTGAAAGTACGGGAAAAATGTCAATCAAAGACTTGTTAACGTTAAGTTATTATGACGTCACTATAGACGTTACCATGAGTATTGTAAAACATCATATAGAAGAAATGAAAGCGCTTATGTTTTACTCGCTCTCTGTTTTTGAATTTATTTAAAATAATTTTTATATTCATCACCGACCACTGTGATGTTTCTTATATATATATATATATATATATATATATATATATATATATATATATATATATATATATATATATATATATATATATATATATATATATATATATATATATATATACAAATTTATTAATTTGTTAATGAGTATCCTTGTAAAAGTGAATTTCTCTGTGCTTTCTATATATATATATATATATATATATATATATATATATATATATATATATATATATATATATATATATATATAGGACTCCAAAGTGCGACGGGACTCCAAAGTCCGATGGTCACGCCAAAGTCTGATGGTCTACGCCAGACCCCGATGGTTTGACACGCCAAACCACGATGGTGCTGAAAACAATTTACGTTGATGACGTCATAATACTAATGCGGCAAACTACAATGCCGCACCATGCCAAAATTTTAAATAAGCAGTAATAATTATCATTCTGCAAAAACTAACCCTTATCTCTCGGATAGGTACTTACCTAACCCTAATCGCTCGAAAAGTGTGTAGGCCTGACAACTATATAGATACCTAGATATCTTGGGTGGGTGCGATACTAACCCTATAATAACTCGACTATGGGGCGAGGACTAACCCTAAGTCAATAAAACTAAAAGGACTAACCCTAATCAGTTTAGAGGTGTGCGAGGACTAATCCTAATATCTCTGAAACATGTAAGCAATACACAAAATAAATAAAAGCGTAAGCAAGGATAAATTCAGAAATTATGGCATTTGAATGCAGGAAAACAGCTTCAAGGATTGACGTCGAATTATTGTGACGTCATAAGCGTCGATTGTTTCCCCACACCATCGGACTTTGGCGTGTCAGACCATCGCACTTTAGCGTCGCGCGTCTCATAGGAAACGAGCCATCGGACTTTGGCGTGACCATCGGACTTTGGCGTCCGTACCGACAAAAAACCATCGGGGTTTGGCGCAGAGCATCGGGGTTTGGCGAGACCATCGGACTTTGGCGTCACCATCGGACCTTGGAGTCTTACATATATATATATATAAATTTTTACAATTTTTATTGAATCAGAGAGAAAAAACTAAACACTATTCCCTCATATGACCAGTAAATTGGGTTGATCTTGGTTTGATCGATATCAAATGCAAATCTTAAAGCGTAAAAGTTGGATGGATCGCTAGACTTATATAATGATAATTTCACACTTAGAATTTTTTTATATAATGCATGAAAAAACTTATTGAATTAACTTTGAATTAATGTTTGTCACCTGGTGGCTAGCGGCTTCCCAAAATCACACAATACAGTTTTGTTATATATAGTTTTATTTACAATATGTACAAACACACGCGTTTCTTCATGGCCCAATGGCTTCCTGCTGGATGGCATAAAAGGATAGCTGGCCTAAATAAATGGGGCCTATAAAATAAAACAAAGTTAGATACAGACATAATATAATTATACATATAATTGCTCATAGTTGAACATTTTGCTGTACATTTACTTAAGTGCATTTTACTGCATTACACTTTACTTAGTTCACTTCACTTCATACTACTTTACTTCATAGAACATTTACGTTCACACATAAACTAAGTGTATTACTTGTAGACAACCACTTTAAGACGAATACTATACGCCATACTTTATACATACAACATTATGTCTAAATTATACATAAGAGGGCTGTTCAATAAATAATGTCCTGAACTATATGACATACATTACAGATTTCGTATGACATTAAACTTGACTTTCTCTTATTATTGAATCATTTGTGAATTTATAAAAGTCTATGTGACCACTTTTAATCACATAGTTTCATCATGAGAAGCTGGGAAACAAGGGCTTTTCGAGACACTGCATTATAAATGAATGGTAAAAAATCAGTGAACAAGAGTGAAAATAAAAGCTCCATTAAAGCTGCCGTAAAACTTGTTAAAAATCACGAAGAAATATTAACTGAAATATGTTACATTTAGAGCAATCAATGCCTGTTTTATAGACAAAAGAGCAGGAGGATTTCAATGATTAAAAATTTTATAATGGGCATCAAAAATGGGTACCCTCCTTGCCAACAAAAATTATAACAACTCATGTACTGTTCGCCTAATTTCAACAAATAATATTTGATGTTGTATGATTGACTTCAAGACCCATAGCAAATTTGATAGACATCACTTCGGGGGTAGTTTACACTGTATTTAAGAAACGTTTGGTGGTAAAAAAGCTTGATACTCAAAGGTCACCCTATATTTTGAAAAATAAGTGAAAATGACAGTGTGTACGAAATTCTTCACAATTATTTCAAAATATCAGTAATTGTAGTCATCCACGTTTGTTTTATTTTCAAACAAATATTGGAACATGGATCTATCGCTAAAAACCCTAAAAAAAATACCATTAAGATTTTCTTGATAAAAACGGCGAATGTCTGAAAAGTGCACAGGTATGCAAGAGCACAAAGACAGATTTATATAAAATTTTCTTAAATATTAGTGGTTATGTTCTTCAAAATCGTATTTGGAGAGACAGTTTAGTAGTCTAGAGAGCACTTTTTTGGCCAAAATATCAAAAGGTTTATTAGAGGAAGGACCAAGAATAAGGAATCCAGTACATTGAATTTCTTCAAGACAGCGTCCAAACCCGCATTCCCTGAAGAGTAAAGGGGTCTTCGAGATAAACAGAAAAATATGTTTTTTCACATTAACAATATTTGCAAGATCTTTTACCTCTTGACTTGTTTCAATTTCCAAACTTGGAAAAATACCTTTTAGAAGGAAGAAACAAGTCCGGGAAATCATTGGATCTGCCATCTTCCAGTATACTGAGGGACATGCCCAAATATGAGTTATACAAACGATCAGAAATTGGATAAAAAATGTTAGAGACATGTATATTACTTAAAAGAGATTAATTAATAAAATCATGAGGAATAAATAATTGAAAAGCGTCTTTAACTTCTTTCTGAGCACCGAGGACATTATTTATTGAACAGCCCTCGTATACTCATACACTTATACTTTTACTTATAACACATATACTTTACATGAGCAAATACTACTTTGAATCTAACTTACAAATGAAATTATAGAACAAAGTTCTTTGGACATTTCAGGAATGAATACCGTCAATATATAATACAGCTTACAATAATAAATAAAATACACTTACCAAGAATAGGTGGACCTCTGGCCATGGAATAAAAAATTACATGAACAAAATAAAACTTGAGAGCTGTCTTAAACACAACTGCTCCGGTCAATAGCTACGCCCAATCTGATTTCACGGGATTTAAATTGCCAGGTAAAACCTGCTAAACAAGCTTAAAAGTATGGTAAACATATTGGGCAAATAATATTGGTAATATAGAATTCAGATAAAACATATGGAAATCAAATATGGACATCAATTGTAACATTACCTTCCCCCTTTAAAGAAAAATTACATACATGTAATTTTTTCCCAAACACAATTTATGTACAAGTTTTTCTTATTACTTTTTAAACATAAGATAAAACAAGATAAAATTCTTCTTTCATCAACTTTATTTACATAGATTTACTGACGGATTCTTACTGTCTGCTAAAAAAATCCGCTCCTACATTATCCTTCCCTCTAATCGCCCTGATGCGGAATCGGTACGGCTGAAGTGACAATGCCCATCTCATTAGTTTGGAGTTCACCAACTTCTTCTTATTCAAATATTCCAGTGGATGGTGATCTGTCTCTAAAATAAACTCTTTGCCATAAATACCTGTGAAACTTTTGCACTGACCAAATGATACCCAAGCATTCCTTTTCTATCGTCGAGTAGTGTTCTTCACTTGGTTTTAGTTTGCGGCTGGCATAGGCGACTGGGAGTTTGAATTCACCTTCTTCCTGTAAAAGTACTGCTCCTATACCCCTGTCAGATGCGTCAGTCTGTACAATGAAAACTTTGGAAAGATCTGGTAATTTCAAAATCGGAGATTGAATAATAGATGCTTTTAGATTTTGAAATGCTAATTCCTGAGCTTCTGTCCACTGAAGTTTACTAGGAGAGAACTTTCTTGTGAGGTCTGTAAATGGAAGAGCTATATGGGCAAAATTCGGGATAAACTTTCTGTAAAATTTTACCAGTCCTAGAAAAGATCACAGTTGTTTTTCGTCCTAGGATGGTTCGCCTGTTGTATAGCCGACACTTTATCTGGATGAGGATGTACTTTGTCATCGCCTATGATATGGCCCAAAGACTCCAGTTTCCGATAAGCCAAAGAACATTTCATTGGTCTGGCGGTGAGATCCGCTGTACGGTGACGCTGTAAAACCTGAAAAAGCGCAGAGATATGATGATCAAAAGTATGAGTAAATATCAAGATATCATCTATGAAATTATCAACATTAGAAACGTTGTTGAGCACCTCGCGCATGAGACGACAAAATGTAGCCGAACGGCTTTTTGGTGAACTGGAAAAGACCTTGGGGAGTCTGAAAAGCTGTCATTGGACGGGCAGAATCAGACAATGGCACTTCCCAATACCCCTTAGACAAGTCTAACCGTGAAAAATATTTATGACCTGATAATTTCGCAAACATTGCGTCAACATCAGGCATAGGCTCCGCATCAAACACAGTAATGCGATTCAGAGCTCTAAAATCGACGCAAAACCGATATGTGTTGTCCTTCTTTGCAACAAGGACTATTGGGGATGAATATGGACTTTCCGAATATTCTATTACCCCAATTTCTAACATTTTACGTACCTCATCTTTCACTGTTTCCATCATAGCAAAAGGGATTTGTCTGGGACTTACTCTCACAGGTTTATCCATTGTTGTCCTGATTTCATGTTCAAGCACATGTGTGTGGCCTGGTGCATCTGTTAAAACATCACTATATCTGTGTAAAAGATCCATAAGAGTTCGTCTCTCCTCTCTGTTGAGATCTGGATTCACATCTACATCTTTGTAGGATTCTCGAGACTGTACGTGTACGAACTCTGCTTCTTCATCATACTCACTAACTGATTCATCAAACTGAATTTGTTCTGAATCTACCACTGACATAACACATTGAACAACTGGTTCACAACGTTCTACATATTTTTTAACATGTTTGCGTGATAAGTCTTTACTTTTCCCTTCACATCTAACTGACAGTCAAATTTACCCATCTTTTTCACAATTTGATAAGGGCCTTGCCATTGCATTAGCAGCTTATTACTATCAGAAGGCAACAAAACCAAAACTTTCTCACCTGATTTCATATTTCTACTCTAGCCTTCTTGTCAAAGTACACTTTGTGTCTGTGTGACGCCCTCTTAAGATATTCCTGTGCCAACTCCCAAGTTGACTCCAATCGCTCGCGGAGATCTAAAATATACTGGTAGGTAGACTTTACCTGTTGATCTGGAATTTCTTTAGTCCATAGTTCTTTCAGGATCGTCATGGGTCCTCTTACCGTACGACAATATAACAACTCAAAGGGAGCAATGCCCAAACTTTCCTGGGGCACCTCACGATAGGCAAAAAGCACAGTGGGTAGATATTTGTCCCAGTCTCTTGGTCTATCAATACACATACGTTTAAGCATTTACTTAAGTGTGCCGTTAAACCGTTCAACTAACCCGTTGCACATAGGGTGATACGGAGTAGTTGTTAACTGTTTCAACGAAATGAGTCTACTCACCTCTTTCATGAGCCCGGAAGTAAATTGACTTCCCATGTCTGTTAATATTTCCTCCGGAATGCCTGTATAGGAGAACATCTCAAGTAAGGCCTCAGCAACCCGCTCTGAGTCTATTCCTGGAAGCGCCTTCGCTTGTGGAAATCTTGTGCCGTAATCCACTAAAGTCAAAATAAAACAATTACCTTTTTCGGTTGGAGGGTGCAGTGGACCTACAATGTCTACAGCAACTCTTTTAAAAGGCACGTCTATTAAAGGCATTCTACCTAAAGGAACTTTAGTTACCGTATCCTTAAACACCGTTCTTTGACATGTATCACGTGACCTACAAAATCGTTTAATTTCCGACTGCATTCCTGGCCAAAAGAACTCTGACAAAATCCTAGAAATGGTTCTTCTAATCGCTAAATGGCCAGACATGATCGATTCATGGGCTAATTTCATTACAATTTGATGAAACATTGGTGGGACTATAAGTTGAGAATAGGTCTTACCACCGTCCTTTTCTGCTGACACATATTCCCTGTACAGAAAACATTCTTTTCAAACCACTTGACCTTACCATCACGTGACCTTCGACCTTCCTGTGCATATCTTCGTGCTGTTTCAAGTGACAGATCTGACTGCTGTTCTCGCAATATGTCATCTGTGTTGATTTCATCTTCGACAATATCTGGCACTTTAAGTGGTTTATATACTTTTAATTTTCTGTTTTTCTTTTACCTGTTGTCTTGTTTCAACCGCTGTGATAGTGTTAGGTTTCCATTCTGGATCCGGATCATGAGGTTGTCTTGCATTCTCTACTTCACCTATAATGAGATCAAAGACAGGATTTTCCATACACTAACATTCATACTCACCTGAGACATAAGGAGAATCAATGACAACCTTTGCCACGGGGACCACTATTCTCGTGTTGTCTGCCAAAACACACGTTTCTTGTCTACCTGTAAAGTTTTCCTCTTTTACTAGACTTTTGCGCACTACAATGTTTCGACATCCTGAATCTCTCAGTAAGGTAACTGGATGACCCTCATCGCCAACTGAAAGAGGCATTGGTTTCGCTGTAGAATGACATGCCGATGTTAAAACCGTTGTATGGTCACTTACCTGACTATAAATAAACGGGTTTTGACTGTAAATCAGCGCTGCGCAGTTACTTGGATTTGCATCACTACCATTTGTTTGACCTTTTCCACGATCGTCCTTGCACACTGCTGCACTTGAGTTTTTACTTTTAAATCTGCACTGGGGTGCAATGTGACCATATTTGTTACATACAAAACATTTCTTTCATTGTTGAAACAAACCTTGGCTTCTGTTGCTGATGCTGACGTGCATCTTTGGGTTTTTCTGGTACCTATCTTACCTCTGGTTTGTTCACTGCCTTTGAACACAAATTGATAGCACTAGTATTTCTAGCTTCCCTAAACTGATCAGCTAACATACTCATCTGATCCACTGTCTTTGGAACATTCTGCTTGAGAAATACAGCCAATTCAAAATTACACACATGTAACATTTGATCTCTAAGCATAAGATCGAAAAGAGCCTCAAATGAACAAGTAATTTTGGACATTTCGACCCACCGAGTCAAGTAAGATGCAAGTCTAACAGTGAACTGAGAAAATGTTTCCCCAACTTCAGGTCTACAAGAACGAAATTTCTTTTTAAAACCATCCTCTGTCATTTCGTACCTACGTAATAAAGCTGCTTTAAGTTCATCGTAGTCACTTACTTTTGACGCGGACATAAGAGCATATACATCTAGAGCTCGCCCTTTCAATAAAGCACTGAGGTGTGTCGACCATAAAGTCTTTTCCCAATTCATGGCTGTCGCAAACCTCTCAAACCTTCTCAAATAGCTATCAATTTCATCTTTGTTCTCGTCAAGAGGAGGAATTTTCGGTACACTAGGTTTTACCATAACATCACTAACCTTACCTTGTGCACTTTTGTTTGCCAGTTCTAATTCTTGTTCTCTTGTAGCTGCTTCATCTTCATCTCGTGATACATGCGTTCCATTTCTAGCTGATATTCTCGTTCTTCTTTTTCTCTCTGTCGAGCCGCTGCTCTCTCTTCACGCTGTAATTTCTGTTGTTCTGTAGCATAATTTCTTAACTCTTCTTTTTCATAACCTAACTTCTCGCCTGCAGCGATTAAATCTTGTACCGAGTCCATGTTTACGGACATGACCTTTCCAACATAACACCTAGACCTTTTTAACACCTTTGTGTGACCACTTATATACTGCACCTCTACATGTACTACTAACGACTCTACTGGACTTTGAATTCTACTTTCTATATATTGTGGTACTACATGTATAAGTACTACTAATGTCACTACTATACTCGGAATTTTACTCCCTACTGAATTTGAAAGTTTAAGATTGGGCGACACAACTGTTAATACTTTATACTTATTTACCACACTACTTTTACCCTGACCAGTCTCCACGTACTCTGAGGAAGTCCACCCCTCACTACTTCTAGAAACCTTCTGGACCCCAAATGACCAAGAAACATTGCCTACAATAACAACTGCAAAAGTGAGAACAATTACATACTTCATGTACATACAGAATACAATAAGAGAACATGTATGAAATATTCACTAGATTTCAAGTCAAGTAATTCACTTTTCTAACTACTTTTATAACAAAGTCTTTTGTATGTATTGTAAAATGCTTTCATTAGTTATTTTCTTATCTTACAGTTTGACAAAAAATGTTTTAATAGGTTGGATTCAAGTCGTCTTGCTTAAGAACATCAGGCACTGTCGGTGACATGTAGATTTCCTCTGCAAGGTTCCATAACCGAAGACACCACTTCATATGGAATCTATTTCCAGGTTGACTGCCTATCCTGAAGTCGTCCTGTGTTAACGTTGATATCCTTGGATATCCTGGGACTGAATTCCTGGGATTGGAATCCCACTTTTGACACCAACTTTGTCACAGAGTGGCTAGCGGCTTCCCAAAATCACACAATACAGTTTTGTTATATATAGTTTTATTTACAATATGTACAAACACACGCGTTTCTACATGGCCCAATGGCTTCCTGCTGGATGGCATAAAAGGATAGCTGGCCTAAATAAATGGGGCCTGTAAAATAAAACAAAGTTAGATACAGACATAATATAATTATACATATAATTGCTCATAGTTGTACATTTTGCTGTACATTTACTTAGGTGCATTTTACTGCATTACACTTTACTGAGTTCACTTCACTTCATACTACTTTACTATATAGAACATTTACGTTCACACATAAACTAAGTGTATTACTTATAGACAACCACTTTAAGACAAATACTATACGCCATACTTTATACAAACAACACTACGTCTAAATTATACATATACTCATACACTTATACTTTTACTTATAACACATATACTTTACATGAGCAAATACTACTTTGAATCTAACTTACAAATGAAATTATAGAACAAAGTTCTGTTGCCATTTCAGGAATGAATACCGTCAATATATAATACAGCTTACAATAATAAATAAAATACACTTACCCAGAATAGGTGGACCTCTGGTCATGAAATAAGAAATTACATGATCAAAATAAAACTTGAGAGCTGTCTTAAGCAAAACTTCTCCGGTCAATTGCTACGCCCAATCTGATTTCACGGGATTTAAATTGCCAGGTAAAACCTGCTAAACAAGATTAAAAGTATGGTAAACATATTGGGCAAATAATATTGGTAATATAGAATTCAGATAAAACATATGAAAATCAAATATGGACATCAATTGTGACAATGTTACTTGAAAATACAATGAATCAGAATGATTTCAACGTTTTTATGAAATTGTCGACATCGCCAAGCAACAAAATTACACAAAAGTTTTGATTTAAGGACAGATGATACAAACAAACTTTTGTCAAAAATTTTGAAAATAGTAATTTGTGTCATGTTTAGATGTATAAAATAAATAAATTTCACGGCGTAGTTTTTTAAATTTTTATTCAAAATTGCACAAAAATGTAATTTGAAGTGAAAAAAAATTGTAAAGAATAATAAAGATTGTTTCAGAAGGGTAGAATTTGAATGTCACAGAAGGTTTACAATTTATTTATATTCTAGAAATTTATTATTTGCATCATTTGCAGTAAAATTTAGTCAAGAAATATATACCAATTCAGAAATCCATTTTTCGTTTGTATCATCTGTCCTTAATACTTTCATTGCATACAATGAAAAACCATTACAATAATACAGTCTATTAAACAATCCGTACATAATATATGGAAAAGCAAACAGTTCATAATAACACGTAACTATGTTAAAAATATATTGTCATTGGGAACACACTTTGCAAAAAACTTATTATATAAAAGGTAAAAGACGTTAAAAGTCTTGATTTTCTTACATACAAGCATTTCGAAAGATTTTTTTCACTCAAATGAAGAGTTAGTCATTTTCTGTAACCACTTAAACTTTGTTGCCACGCATTGTCACCAATTTTAATGAAACTTCACCCAAGCTTAGTACTTGACATCAGAAACAAATACCAAACAAAATTTCGTTACTAAGTGTCTCGGTTGCTATGGCAACAGCCAGAAAAATTTGAAAAATCGAGATTTTCAGCCACTTTAAATCTTATCTGTGGCTTAATAAAAACTAGAAAAGCAAACAAACCATTCTCACAAAAAAGTGACACCTTGATGTCACTTATACTGTAAAGAAACTGTTTAGAATATATCTCTACGTAAGTGGTAACCAAAGGTACATTTGGAATACATTTACAATGCGGAAATATGCTGAAAAACACTCCGTTTAAACTAATGGTAGGTGTTACAATCAACGCCTTAAGAAAAAATGTTTGACCTTAAGTATAAGCAATATTACTCTATAAATAACTTTTATGGCTGCCATGGTACCACAGTGTAACCATGCAAAACCAGTAACTAAGATTGGGTTAATGCTACTGTCTTGAGGAAAAACATGAAAATTCAAGACCGGCAAGTATGCATCCGTAGGACCTTGCAACACCAAACGCATAAGAAAAATTGGGTATAATTGCTACTTTGCAGTGTTACCATGGGAACAAAGTACCAAAGTGAATTCAAAGTGAATTATTTTTAGCTGATTTAAGAATTAAATTGCTATATAATCAAGAAACACATTGTAGGACTCAGCTTGAATTGTACTTATCTGTTAGAACTGAAGTTGAATATCATATATTGATAAAATTTGCTGAAGAAAACAACTCCGTTGCTATGGTTACCAAGAAGGAAAAATGCTCGATTTTGTGAAGTTTATATCAATATTAAACCCTGTGTGCCAACTTCATGCATCCACTTAGAGATTGGATGATAGTCAAAATTAAAAGTCAGGTTAGCTGTTAATAAATATCAATCATAAAAGTTTTGGGAATCTACATTTTAGGGTACGTATCCAAGGAAAGAAAATATTTTTCAGGTTTTTATGCATATATTTTCTGCTTATTTCCATAGGAACGCTCTATTTATTAAAGAATCTTATATGTTTTTTTCAAATGGGAAAACTAGGAGCACACCAACATCTTTAAAAATTGATCATTAGTTATTAGGAAATGTGTTCTTTTAAAATAATAGGATCAGATTTAAACATACTGTTGCTTTGAAGGCTCTCTGTGGTACAAAACCTTGGCAACCATTGCCAACCAAAATAAAATATCAAATTTTGTTCTTGTTATATATTTCAAAGCTCTTTTTGCTATTATTTGGTCACATTTCATCCTATAATTGCTTTTTTATTTTTACGTGTATGACTATAAAATTCAATGAATATTTTTTTAACTTTGAAAACTTTGTCACCATAGTAACGTATGTAATAGTTGATTCACCAAACATGTTTATTTTGCATTTGAGACATCTGACCTTCAACTTTTGGAAACAGTCATTGCCAATTGTTTGCTTGTCCGAAAATGTTAACTATGGGGCTCTTAACATGTTAAAAAATGCCATTTTTCGAACTTTAAGATATGTTGCCATGGTAACTATAAAACATAGCAACCAACGTTTGCCTGATTTCACTTACGGGTATCAATGACTTTTATCATAGAGAGTTTGAAGAAATTCTGAGACTATGCGTGCCAAATCTCCTATATAAAATTTCAAATCAATACAGAGGATGGCTCTTAACACTTACCCATAGAAGCCTCCAATTTATACCAATGGCTGGTTATCAGAGCCATTGAGCAATAAGTTTTTTTTCCAATGATTGATCAATTCATTAAAGATGTATTTTGTAATCTTAAAATGATTCTTGATCTGTCTTTCATGAAAGGTGAAATCTTAATTTAACAACTCGCCATGATCTTAATTAATTTATTTATCTTTTATTATTTAAAAAAAATGTCAATAATTCCATTGTGTATCTTAACTCTTTTACAATACAACACAATGCACACACATTTTTTAAGGTCCTTAATTAATGAAAGGAAGGCGTATATTGTTTGAATATGTATCCTCTCTGTCTGCCTGTTTTCTTTATCTCTATCTGTCAATTTGTCCACAAAACGTAGGCCCAGTCAATTAAAATAACATATGGGATCGTTTTATATGCCTGTTTGTTGATTCATATAATTATAAACTCTTGCCATCGTTGAGACTCATCTAATAAATACGGAATCCTTCATCATTTGTTTTTTTCTCTGGAATTGCATATTGGTGGACCTTCGGAAACACGGCACACCTTATACTTCGTTTTTACCCTTTACCTCACATGTACACCCTCTACGCCAAAATTTCCTCACCCCGTTCGTTCTGCAAACAACGGATGCCGTTCCAGACGAAATCTTAGTACCGTCTAAAACTACTCGGCCACAATTGAAATAATATGTCGGCCCATTTACATTACAGAGAAAAGAGTGAGAATATAAGACAGCAAAAAATGATAAAGAAGACATAAAGTAGGATATACGCGGATTAATCCAAAAGTTCTTGGAATTTCTTTCTAAAATGTTATCGTGATTTGATGATAGCAGCAGGCATATTTATAATATAGAGTCATATTGCAACAATATTGGAAAATTTCACAACTTTCTAATTACCAATAAGGCCGCAGGAGCTTTCTGAAAAATGATAGATGTGAAACCCGGGGGAGACTTCGACGTAATCTTTAATAAACGTCCATGGAAGTTTTATATTTCTTAAATTTCTAATATCACTGGATAACCATTAACTAAATGCATTTTCCCCAAGCCTATATCAGAAATATTCGCTTTTAACGTAGGTCGCGGGGTTGCTGACGTCATTAAAACTGGGTACGCAATTTATATGATTTGGGCGACTTTCTTGTGCACATCTGATTATGACGTCACGGTGAGAAAGGGAAAATTTCAGTACATTATCTAGCTGTAACTTTTGTTGAAATTGATAGTTTAGTGTAACATATTCATAGAACATGCTGAAGTTATAAAAATAATGAAGGCTTATTTTGATTCGAGTGACCATCACTGAAAGTGTTAGAAGCGTTTCATTACGTATCATCAATCGCATCTTCTCGGGTCTATTCTGAGAGCACATATACTTGTTTCGGAAATAAATTTTAACCCTTGTGTCATGTATAATTTATAAATATTAAATACCGACACATGTATTAAATGAGTATAATTTTAAAACAGGTTATCTAACTTCGAATTACACTTGATACCCCCTCCTCAGAAACGCACTCATTTTATTGTACACTTTCAGTGGAAATGCACTAAACAAACTGTTTATTAGCATTGTCTTCTACGATAATTTTTCTACACAACCATATATGGCATGCATGTCTTTGTTTTCATTTATTCCGTAAACAGCGTCAAAACTTTGAAAGTCGAACTCAATTATGAAACGGTATGTGCTAATCTCAGACAAATCTATATAAAGGTTGAACACAAATTAAAAACTGCTAAGGCACCTCCGGGGTAATCTTAATGAAACACTAACTAAATTATAAATAAATACATGTATGAGAATAAAAATATAACTAAATTATATATATTATACATACATTTTTTGAGCGGCATTGACCTCTTGTAAATAACCACAGGCACGTAGGACATGACCCCCTCCCTCCTTTCCATTTTTTACTTCCTAACGCCAGGGATGAGTAAACTTTTTCCATTTTTTTTTAATTATAACTCCACCCTATATGTGCACGTTGATTTAATCGAAATATTTACTGATCGGAGGCAAATAAAGAACTATATAAATGGAAATCTGAAAAGGAAAAAGAGTGTTTTTCAAATTTATCAATGTCTGCATATTCCATGATTCTCTACGCTTTAGATAGTGATTATGCAAGTGAAGATTGTGAGACAGACGTCGAAAATAAAAACAAATTGCAAGCCGTCTCTTTTTATGTATCAGTCGAAAACGAAAAACATGGTATTTAAAAACAGCATAAAGAGATAAAAGGGTAACATTATTAATAACATGCAATACGTATTAAACATGTTAAAATCCAAAATAGGGAAACCCCCAGAAAAACAGAAAGGGGGGGGGGGTCGATACTCCAATTGCCTGTGTAAGTAACGGCACGCGTTGTTGCTAGTTACATGTAAATATTTTATTCGCTGTGTTGCTTTCCATGTTCATTCAGTAGAATTAATGTTATATGTATACAATGAAAGTCTAAGAAAAAAAAATAAAATCTGCCTGTTTATTCTGCCAAATAAAATTATTGTTTAAATTATCGTCCCATTTACCCTCTAAATTCCTTTTAAGTACGCATTTTTTCTATCTTTATACGTATATTAAGCATAAAATAAAATCAAATTAAGATTTATTTTAGCTAGGCCTATTTGTTGCCTCTTTGTAAACAAAAACATTTTCAATAAAAACACTGAATGCATTAATACTCATACCCGGGGGGGGGGGGGTATTTGGCGGAAATTGATTCATCAGAAGTTATTGTTGATTTGATACCGTTGCTGAATTTTCTAATAAAAAAGAAACTAAAAGACTGATTGTTGGTTTACGCCGTTTACGTGAATTTTCGCTAAAATTAGACATAATAAGCTGATTCAAGGAAAAATGTTTAATAGTTATTTTATTGAATTATTAATATGATACTGGTCATTTGAAAGCAGATATACATGAATTTCCTTTTTCTTAAAATCCGTATACTGAGTAATTTTTTTTTGTGCTCTGTATACCGGGTCGATATTCACGACGTCAAGCGTGACGTCGCGATATTTTATGACGTTGTTCTTAAAAATGCTACATTTGTCAATATATAAGCAATTATCTACGATTTAATTACGAAGAAATGAACCCGAAAACATATTAATTTTTTTACATAGATTTATATCAAATCAATTCTACTTTTATATACCAAAGGATAAACAAATTCGTCTGCAAGATTTAAAAGTTATTGATATTTTTTAAATCAAAACCTTGCCTGAAAACAAGCCAAAAACGACGTTTCCCCTATACAATTCAATAGAATACCCTTGAAAATGTAACTACAACAATGACATCTTTGGAATTCAATTACACAAAAATGGTGCAGACGAATTTTATGAAATTTTCAGAGAATGGAAATCAAAGGTAGAGAAATAATATAGGTAATTTTCATGGTATGTTTTCGAACACTTTTAAAAGCCCTGTAAACCCGCGACCTACGTTAATACAGATTGATCCCGATATTATCACAAAACGTATGAATTAAGCGAAATAAGACGTTTTCTAACAACTTTAAAATGAACAATAAATATTTAGCGAATAAACTAAATATCCAGGCAGTAAAACTCTCACACTAAGGTTGATAAAAGATCAATCAATGGTAATAATGACATAATATTCGTTTTAAAGGCGGTTTATTTCTCATTACACGCATTGAGAATTTAAATGATAATAAATACGATGTCTCCCCCGTATTACTAAACAACTGTTTCAATGGCAACTGCCATAGAGTTACTATGAAAGATATTTAGAATATTTTTTAAATTTAAAATATCCATCAAGTGTCTATATTTTGATTTGTAATATTAAACCAACGATTTCAACTTTAAAATAAATAAAATCTGAAGAAACTCCAATAATTTTTGGATCAACCTTCGAACAGTTACATTGAATGTTACAGATTGACGTCACACCAACAAGTGTATCAGAACCAGTGACTCCTTTACTTCTTGCCATGTACAGTACGTTAAAAACAATAAACATTTTAAAGCAAAACTTGATGTAATGTATTTTAATACACTCCACAATCAAATAACACAAATCATTGTTACAGTACGTTTGAAAATCTATTAATTATGTGTATCATAGTTAAAATTTACGAAAAGATAAAGATATACCTACTATATAACACATCATTGTACAGTATTATGCTTCTTAGAGTTGTTTTAAGGTATTTTTTTTAAAATATATATTTAAAAATTGTGTTTCTCAGTTATAGGAACATTTTTTACTTTAGAAATTTTTGTAATATTTCATTGCCTTTCATTGTTGAAAATTGTTTATCTAAATTCATTGTTTGAGTGAAGGAAAAAAAAATCCCCACAGTTCTAACAAAATGCTACCACAAGATTTTATAATATATTTACCATTTCTTTTTTCTAATTTTTTAAAAAATGGGAAAAAATATTGCTTCTGATTACTTCTGAATGTATATGATATTTCAGTAAATATATGCTTTGAATATTTCATTTAATTCATTCCAGAAACCAAACAGGAATCACACATATTTAAGTGAGCTATATTAAATTTGATAAACAAAACCCTTATTTCAAAGAAATAAATGGGGTTGGATATAATCTCAATTAAAGTGCATGTACCTATAATATTTTTATATATATATTCATCTATTTTATATTGTTATACGTGGTTACATTAATATATGAATTAAATAAAGCAACCATAGTAATGCTTGTATAATCAGAAAAATAATCATTCATCTATTGCATAACCTGAATTACAGGAATAACCCTCTTAATTCAATTAATTTACTAATTGATCACTGAAAACTCTGGAAATAGTCCTTGAATGGTAGATATCTGTCCCCCACTACATGTGGCCTTTCAGTAGATTTTCTGTTGACTGAATGGCCAAGTTTGATTCTGTTAATTTTTTTTTGTCAAACTCAGCAGATGAATGCAAAATTAATTTAATATATATTATTTTTTCTATCAATACATATTAAGATACACCACCAGCGTGTAACAGAGTTAATAAGAGAATCGAAAATAGAGCGTGCTTGGTACATTTGAACTGTTTCTTTTAACAACCATTTTCTTTTTGGCCAAACATCAAGAAGACTGGGCTCTGCTATCAACTCCCTGAAAGATAAATCATACGAATAAAAACAAAACAGAAAAAACATATCAGTTTTTACAGTTATTTATTCCTTTTTCCTAAATTTATTTGTGACATGGGTAGATTAAAACAACGATTTCCTTTTCATTCTCTCATTATATTTCCTGTATTTATTAAAACTATATTGCAATCGAGTCCCTGCTATTTTTAATATAAACTGTATAAAGAACATACCGTGTACCAATAATGCAACAAGTCATCACGTACAATCTGATGCTCTCTATGATCCTCTTTTCTAAAATTCGGGCAAACTCTTTTATTCGTTTTCAGTTCGGCGACGGTTGTCTCTGATAAGAAACAACCCTCATCTTCTTCAGTGATATTTATATCACTACAAGGGTATCCGACTTCATAGAGAACTCGTTGATGGAAAGTTGTGGTAAGCTCTTCAAGCATTTGTTCAATTTGAATTCTGATATTTTTCGTATCTGTATTTTCCAGGTTGATATTTTTATCTGGAGTGAACGCTTGCAATTGAATTGATGTTTTATTGACTGCAATTGCAATGTTAATGTCATCACCTTTTTCCTTGTAAAAAGCAACGTTTTTGCATAGTCGGTATTCACTTAACAATTCCCACCTGGCAAAGCAAATCGCAACAAGTCTAAAGAAAAAGAAATGAGGAATAAATGTTTTAAAAGAAAACACCAAGATCGGAGTTTTATATCCGTTGTTGAAGAAATCGAAGCCTTTTGTTGTGAAGTCGGTCTTATTTACACTTGGGATGTAGTACAATGATTCTTGTCTATTCCCAAAAGATTCAGCGTCCTTCACCTCAACATATTGTGTTTTCAATTTTGCAAGAATACCAAGTTTTTCCATGTATGGTATAATAGTATCTTTTTCAAGAACATATGATTCCTCCTTTTCCTCCCATACGCTGACCAGTGTTGAATATGAAATCATACCATTCTTCATGAAAATTTCCCACTCTTTAACCCTACTGCATGCTGAGCGAGCGTGAGTAGGATCTGTAATGATATTTTTAAAAGCGTCTACAAACCAACCAACGTCTAATATTATATTGTGTCTCAGTCCTTCTTCCGAGAAATAAATTATCTGGCCCACCTCTGAAAAGTATTTGAGCATATCATCCAACTCATTTTCTTCTAGGATTTTAAATTCTTTCTCAAATAGTAGGCTATATCTGCTGATAATTCTCTTTGCTTTACGTTCTTGTACAAATCGCTCAAACATGTACCATATGTGGGGAATTTTTTCACCCCATTGCGGAAGACTTTTTGCTGTTCTAACAATGCATTTTCTGACTTGTTCTATAGCTTCTCTTTGCTGTTCATTCAGTTTTCCCAGTGGACATTCAATCTCGTAGTAACGTGAAGGAGAAATGTGATCATTCAGTGTATGTTCACTAGGCAAGCATTTCTCTATTGCGTCATAGAATGAAGTTTGGCTGGGCGTTGTTTCTTTCTGCAGATGTAGAAGACATCGATTATCAAATCGATATTAACAATAAACGTAAAATATGACATTTATTGTTAAATGAAGCTAAGTCAGATAGATGATTAAAATACATGAAGAATGTTGAAATTTCCTTTATTCCTAAAATTAAAGCAAAATTATTTTTTCAATATTATGTCTGTTTTAATGTGGTATAAAACATGATGTTGATGGATTATGATGAAGCTAGAAATAATTGGATTGTGAAAGAGTAAATTCAAACAGGACAAATTACGTTACAAAAACTGACATACACCTTTTACTGACGTAACAGTGTAAGTTTGCTGAATATTTTTCTTTCAAAGGTTTTGTATAATCAGTTTATGATTTTCTATTCAATACAATTGGTTAAAAATTGCAAATGAGAAATGAGAAAAGAGTTTTCTCAAAGAGAAATATAAATTGTTAAGTACGAAAGAGCAAGAATGGCAAAAGATTGATAAAAAGGCGGAAAGAGATAATCGATCCACCATTAAAAAGTTTTACCTTTACACAGTCATGATGAGAGGCAATCAGGATAACAGGGCTGGCTTTGGATTTATCACTTCGACTTTCTTTAGACTTCCCATCATCACAGTAGGTCTTGATGGATTGCAGCCAAAACACAAAATAGTCTTGCCAAAAAAATAGCATTATCAAGTGATGCATCTTAAATTCTATTGCATGTAAAAGGTGATTCTTAGTTATATGAGAAACATGTAATCTTAAAATACGATGACAGCAATAGTTAACAAGAGGCCCTCGGGCCTTATAGGTCACCTGAGTATCATGTCACAACTTTCCAGCGATTGTATTTGGTTCATATTTTAATCCAAAATCCATGAAATTCACAAATTTTGAAAGATGCACTATTGCTTATCAGAGAACAGATTTCAAATCATTAATTCATTTTTAGTCAAAGTAACCCTTCCCCACTCATACCCCTGACACAGGAGCCCTGAAATTATCTAATTTGAAAGAGGCCCCTTTCTTCATCATAAGGCCAGCATTTTTTTTTATTTTTAGGTTTAGTTATGAACATGAGAATGGAAAAGTCAAGAAAGAGAAGGAGATAAAAAAAAATTGTGTTTGATAAATAAATTTTCAACATTTGTGCTTTTTTATGCTATCCTAATAGGATCCGTACCACTGGACACATAATGCTTACAAATAGGAAAGTAGAACATTTACATATAAACTGCTTATTTCCTCATCTGCCAATTTGGACTAGTTACTGTATAGCAGGTTAAAATCGCGGTCGTATTCAATTTACATCATATCGCGGTGGGTTGAATTCGCGGAGGATCAAAAATCATACATTTCTTACACACTACTCGCAAGCATTTTTCTTTAGGTATATATTGTGTGAACTGATATTTCCCGTCTCTATCTTACGATAGTCTGTGCATGTATATCGCGCATATCAGAGAAAGTTAAGTCTATATATTGTGTCGATTTTGATCCCGATTGAATAATAACGAATCACCGAACTGATTCCGATTTGAAGTCAAAATAATGTTACGCATTTCTTTTTTTTTATTTCCGGGTACGAATCAGAAAAAAATATGCCTTTGTCAAATTGTTGAACTTTTAATCATTTAATTGAAATTAATTGCCGATACCCTGTTTACTACGTAAGTGTACATGTCTTGATTAAAATAATGACTCAGCGGTTCGCATGGGTGAAATTAAACAATCATGTTTTATTAAATAATTATATCGCACGTCTACTAGACGGCAAAATTAATCGTTAGCTCTATAAAAAAATAATTTAATTAATAAGCTTTAAAAACACCAACAACTACGTGCTTACACCCGCAATTTTTTAAAGACAGTCTACTCTACATTTAAGGTATCCGATCCATAAAAGCCTCAGATTCAATGAATTTGAATGCATAACAAATATATATTGGCTGTATACTTAGTATATGTAGACTTAATTTTTATATCTTGGACTCAATATGTAAGAGCAGAATGTGTCCTATATTTTGACTTGGTCCGTCCTTGAAGAGTTATTCCCCTTTGCTTTTGATCAATAAAATTTTTTTCTAAAAAATCGATCTAGTGAAAAATTATTTTTCAATTGTTTTTCTATTCTTAATAATAATATGCATCTATTCACCAAAGCATTCATTTGATATTCATAGTATTCAATTTTTTATTTCAAAGAATATGCTTTTTCCCATAGACTTCAATGCATTCTTAATTAATGAATTACTGCTCGGGTAATTATATTTTTAACAATTTCTCCTGGTAAATCCTTTTCTACTCTAAACTGCTTTGAATTAGTCATAGAATATTTCATATAGGATGGATATTCAAGGTTAGAAAATTTTGTCCTTTTATGGATCGGATACCTTAATCACAAAAAATAGTAATAATTTCAATTTGTCCTAATAAGAAATTTTCGCTGTATGTTGAATTCGCAGAATTTCTTTTTCCGCAAATATAGCGACAATTAACTCCAGGGGTTAATTTCCTGCTGTACAGTATATAAATTTAGTGATGATGATCAAAATATATTTTTAAAATCAATTCTTTAAACGTCTTTCATTATATCTTCATTTTTTTTAATATGTGTTAGGTGAATGTGTAGACATTGTGCTAAAATATACTTGATACCTAAAATTATAATTCCTATTATAAAACAGACAGGGAGTATTGTCGAGTAGAGTGAACATTTTTTTTTCAATTAGGTGTAAAATATTTTTTCTGGCTGATACAAATGATACTACATGCCTGTATATATTTGTATATTCTTGCTTTTTAATAGTTTTTTTTTTAATTTCTTCTGGTTATTGTTTATTTCTTCCTCAAACAAATGGACTTAACTTCTCCCATAGTTTTATTCATTACATCTGATACATAAGCAACCCTTTTCTGAAGAATGATGCTTAGACTGTAAGCTATAATAACAGAGACCTAAACAATGTCGCTGGCAGTATGCAATAGCTACCACGGGCAGTTTAAAACCTGTGGGAGGAAAATAATTTACAGACAGATACTTTTGAAACGAATCTCACCAGCATGTCATTGTGCAACAAAGTCCTCAGCATTTTATTTGTCCTTTGAACGGGTGAAACGTTTTGAATGGCACTCTTATCGATGAATTTTACACTAAACCAAGCTATCTTCGCAGATCTTGCTTTATTTACCCGCCGTTCGATCTTAAAACTGGAAGTGCAAGTTCGTAAATTTGAAATCTCGATCTCAACTCAAATTTGAAATAGGAATTTTGCTTTATTTTTTTCTGAAAATTCAAAAACTTGAGCGTAGGGTTTGTAAAACTGATAATAAAATAAATTCTGACCTTAAATATGTAATTAGATCAATAGCATATTATCCAGGAGCAAAGGATAAGATGTTCAAAGAATTCATGCATTTCACTATATAATCATTAGAGCCCCACCCTAAAATTAGAAGAGAAGAAGATTTTTAAAGAATTAAGAGTCAAAATCAGCAAGCATCGAGCATTTAATTAAAAAATGTGGAAAGTGGCATAAAAACAGATTTTGGTAAAACTCATATATAAATTTTCAGAACAAAGGGTATGATAGAAAAGAGCAATCAAAAAATAATGTTTCGCATTGTTGCTATGGAAACCACGCGCCTTTCAGATAGGGTGTTTTGTACTTTATCATTTGAAGTTATGGTTAAACAAATACATTTTATTACTAGTCATTAAAAAAGCTTTTTAAATTATAATTTTATTGATATTAATATACTCTGTTTTATCAACTGTTGATTTTTAAAATTCTCTTCACCTTTTGATAAATATAACTAGTTTTTGGAGGTTTACTTTGCTTTAAAAAACAGCAAATTTGAAGTACTTTATAAGAAATCTACAACCACATTAAACCTTATCAACATACAAGAGGCCCATGGGCCTTATAGGTCACCTGAGCATTATGCAACAACTTTCCAGTGATTGAATTTAATTCATCATAACAATACACTTAGCAGTTGCTTAGTTTGTTTACTTAATACCCATACACAAGGTAGGGGAACAAAAAATGCATTTCAACTAATCAGTTATGTTCAGCAATAATCAGTAGTGCCCCTACCATACATGAACCCCTGACCCTTAGGCCTTGATATTTGATTACTACCAAGGAGCAGATTTCAAACCATTCATTCCTTTTCAGTATATAAGTACAGCCCCCCCCTCTATGGTACCCCTGACCCTGGGGCCTTGAAATTCACAATTCTGAAAGATTAGGGCCCTTGTCCATCAAAACTATATAGGTAGTTCATCTGCTTAATACCCTAGAGCAGAGAAGAAATTTTTTTAAAATATTTAATGTATTTTCACTATATAATCTATAGAGTCCTGCCCTAACACCAAAACCCCTGACCATTGGGCCATAAAATTCATCATTTTGGTAGAGGCACTCTTGTTCATCATAACTATGCACTTAGTTAGTTTATTTAATACCCAAGAGCAATGAAGAAGATATTCAAAGAATTCATGTATTTTCACTATATAATCAATAGAGCCCCACCCTAACACCAGAACCCCTAACCCTGGGGCCATAAAATTCACAATTTTGGTAGAGGCACTCTTGTTCATCATAACTATGCACTTAGTTAGTTTATTTAACGTAGCTACGGATAGCGAGCACGTGACATTGCATGTGAATTTTAAATTAAGAATTTTTCGGTTGGCTTATATTCGGAAATGCGCATAGTTCAATATGGCGGACTGCAAGTTGTAAACAACGTGCTCCGAGAAAAGTACACGGGAAACGTTATAAGAACGCTAAGCTGTAAAGGTAGATCAAGTAAATTAGAGCGAATGAGAGAATATAACATCTTAAGAAACAGAAAACAATAAAACCTTTTTTTTTTAACTAAAATGTCTGTGTATCGCAAACGACCGACTAGCACCCCCTATTCCAAAGCAGACGACGCAGCTGGTTTGAATCTCAATCATGATATGACATGTATGAAATCGAAAGAGGGGACGAATATTTTTTGAGATGAGGAACTTGACAAATCAGTTTATATGCTCTCAGTCACAGTAATAAAGGCAATCGTTTGTATCTTTTCCAAAATCTTTGAAACTGAAAGCGATGTTGACTCGGTACTTTATTGTATCAATTGATACATTAGGCCCACATGTTAATGGGGCTGATAGTACTGTCTATTTATGGATTTATCAACACTTACCACTGGAAATCCCGGCCCCGAAGGAATACGATTGAGAGGCGTATGATTACTGTTGATATCAACTCAAACGTAGCTCTTGGTAAGTCATATCTATAGATATTTACATGACATACTTTCATAATAATAGGCCTATTTTAATTCAGAATTAAACTTCACCCTTATGAGTTTTAGTAAATTCAGAGAATGTAATAAAGAAACTGTCATTCATTATGGGGGTGGGAGTCTGGGAGGGGGGGGGGCAAATTTTATGGGTGTCAGATTATGTATTTACAGTGAAGGACAGATAATTTTTATTTATTTCCAAGATCACTGGGGGCCTAATTTTTGTCAGATTGTACCTAAGATATTTTTCTATTCACAAAAATTCCACATTTATAATTATTTAGGGTATTTCGATTCACCTTTAATGTATTTACATTTTGACTTACAAAAATAATTTTGAAGATAAAACATGTTTGAAAAGTAA